TCCCGCCTCTCCCCAAATTCGGCCCTCCCCCGGGCTCCACCCCCAAAATCTCTAGGTACTTCCCAAACCAGAGCTGGCAACCCTATTCAGTGGCCAGGCCGCCGCATAGAGCCCCCATGAGCTGTAAGCCTATGAGAGGAAGCCACACTCTATCAGAATCACCTGACAGGAAGCGGAGGGGCCAGGACGATGACCTCACTGGAGGGAAGTGGAACTCAGATCTGCAAGTGTGCATGGAGCCTTGGCATATTGAGGGGCATGAGGTAGACATGGCAAGAGGAAGAAAGCAAGGCAGAGCTTTTAGGGGGAGGGGGGTGTCTCTGAATCCCCCAGAATCCTCTGCCCTGCCGAGTGACCTTGGCCCACCATCCTGCTGTTTTGCTGAACGTCTGTGGAAAGAGAAACAGGAGGGTGCGGTGTCCTTGTTCTCTGCTCATACGCACTAGCAGGAAGCCCTTCCCAAAAGCAGTCGTCCCCCCCCCAAAAAAAAGTGGTGACCTATCTCAGGGTCCATTGCGGACCACTGCTGTCAAGGATGCAAAATATACAAGCTCTAGAACAGGGGTCCCCAATCTTTTTGAGCCTGTGGGCACCTTTGGACTTCTGACACAGTGTGGTGAGCGCAGCCACAAAATGGCTCCCACAGGAGAGCTGCCACAGGAGGTGAGGTCAGCCACAAAATGGCTGCCACAGAAGAGCGCTGCAGGAGGCGGAGCCAGTCACAAAATGGCTCCCACAGGAGAGCTGCCACAGGAGGTGGGGTCAGCCACAAAATGGCTGCCACAGCTGAGCTTCAGTCACACGGAGTAGATCCTTTTGTGCTGTTGTGACAGCTGCTGCCAAAGCGACGTTTTTTGAAAATCTGCACACCCATTCAAATCTCCAGTGGCCCCTCAGAATCCTTGCTAAGCAAAAGCCCCACCTGGCCTCACGCACTATCTAAAAACACTTGGGGGTCCCAGGAAAGGTGTTGGGGGGTGCACCGTGCGCCCGTGGGCACCACGTTGGGGATGCCTGCCCTAGAACGACCGTTACGAGCTGTCACAGGTGGGACAAAGCAATAAAAATGAAGACGTGCAGCACGGTCACGATCAGGTGGTTATCATTTCATCAGTTTCTGGCTTGGCTCAGCAGAATCCAGATGTGCGCAAGTACCCCGAACCCGACCAGGGCAATTACAGGTCTGGTTATTTCCTTGTTGGTTCCCACTTACACCACTGGAGGGCCCTTGAATGCAGGTTTGCTCCCTGAACCACTATTAGCACAAACAGCCTGTCTTTCACACCTCACCTTTCGATATGGTTATCTCTTTCAAGATCTAGCAGCTGATTGGTTTGCTTGCCAGAAAAAAAAAAAAGGAGTGGGGGGGGGAAGCAGAGAAAGAGAGAGCGTCACATGCAAAATCCTAGCGAGAATTCAAAGCACTCCAGCATCTGAGTCTTTTAAAATAATCTAAATAGCTCTTAAACAGGCATACTTTTGTATACCGATTGGGTATACCTTTCTGTGGGCCCAGGATGGGGGGGGAAGCAGAGAAAGAGAGAGCGTCGCATGCAAAATCCTGGCGAGATCAGAGCACTCCAGCATCTGAGTCTTTTAAGATAATCTAAATAGCTCTTAAACAGTCATACTTTTGTATACCGATTGGGTTTAAACCTTTCTGTGGGCCCAGGAGATGTTACATCCTGTGCTCCCTCTAAGCCGTGGAGTCTCGTGAGCAGAAATTCTACTTTGTGAGCTACTGGCATTAAAGTTGTGAGCGAGCGATTTGGCTACTGCATAAATTAGTTTGCTTCTGGATCCCTCCTTCCTGAGCCAAGACAAAAATGTGTGAGCTGGAGGCTAAAAAATTGTGAGCTAGCTCACACTAACTGAGCTTACAGGGAACACTGGTTACAACTCCTCTTCGTGTGAAGCAAGCAGATCTATGCATGCCCTAAGGGTTTTGTTTTCCTTAAAAGCCAAAGAAGTTGGTTGCTTAGGGGAAAAAACAACTATTTTTAGAGAAGAGTAAAAAAGCAGATCTATGCATGCCCTAAGGGTTTTTTTTTCTTTCCTTAAAAGCCAAAGAAGTCGGTTGCTTAGGGGGAAAAAAACAGCTCTTTTTAGAGAAGAGTAAAATGCTGACATGGAACACCCAGTTCGAACTATGGTGACCAATGTTCCCTCTAAGTTGTAGCCCCCCCCCTCTTGACCTAGGACAAAAATGTGTGAGCCGGAGGCTAAAAAACTGTGAGCTAGCTCACACTAACTCAACTTAGAGGGAACACTGACATTGTGACCTATTAATAACTTAAAACCTACTTGTGAGGCATCAGGTTTTAAACTGAACATCAGTTCTCTATTTATTATTATTATTATTGGACTGGCCACCAGTATTATAAACGAGTGTATTCAGTCCGATCTCACCAGGCCAGGATAAAAGTCCAAAAAGGTGATTTATTTCCTAAGAGCGGGGAAACCAAAGCAAGGAAGTCACAATATTCACGCTTCCCTTTCCTTGCACAAATTCCGGAAGAGAGCTTCTTTCGTCTTTTTTTTCTTCAATAACGAGAATTTTTCTCCATCGAAGAATATGGAAAACTGGCTTTGGCTGCCTCTCTATAGTTTACTTCCTTTATGGTTCTTTGGCTTGTCACAAAGCAGGTTTGCTTGAAAATACTTGGTTTATCTTAAAGAAGGCAATCTTTGGGAACCAGAAAAAGGTGACGTGCTAAAAAGCCGAAGTTCATGCATCAGAGACGCAGCGGAGCCAGGAAATTGCAGAAGTCCCTCTGACAAATAAAACAGAATGTACTTGGTTGTAACAGCCCAGGGAAATCGGTGTCATATGTGGCGCTCTTTGGTTTCCCAGATGAGTCTTAAGAGAAATGAAGGTCTGTGCCGATTTAGACTGAATTAGGACCTGCAGTGCCGACATAGCTGTGTGCCCCCGTGCAAACTGCAGGCTGCGTTCTCTGCCCTGGATCTCGATTGGTCCAGACGCTGGTAGAAGCTATAAAATGTTGGCCATTGTCAATATGGACAGAAAATATTCTGTGAAAGCACACAAGGGGGAATTTGAGTTGCCAAGTCCTCCTGGCCACCGGTGGGGAATGGGGGGTTGGGTTGCCAGCTCCAGGTCGGGGAATTCCTGGAGATTTGCAGGTGGAGCCTGGGGAGGACAGGGACCTCAGTGGGGTACAATGCCAGAGAGTCAACCCTCCAAAGCAGCCATTTTCTCCAGCGGAACTGATCCCTGTGTCTGGAGATGAGCTGTAAATCTAGGGGATCCCCAGGTCCCACCTGGAGGCTGGCATCCCTAAGAGGAACTTCAGTGGGGTTTATTGCCATAGAGTCCATCTCCAAAGCATCCCTCTTCTCCAAGGAAGCTGATCCCTGTAGCCTGGAGACGAGATGTAATTCTAGGGGATCCCCAGGTGCCGCCTGGAGGCTGGCATCCCTCGGGGAAATGAGTATGATTTGAAGGCACATTATTAGGGTTCCCAAGTCGGATCGGCGCTGGAGCGGAGGACTCCAGTGCCGCTCCGCCCGTGCGCGCCGCAACCCCGTCACCCGGATGACCATGGCACCGCCCCCAGCGTGCCCGGCGTGACGTGCACATCACGTGCTTTGGGGGTGGGGTTCCCCCCGGGGGCCCGATCCGCTGCTGGCGGGGAACGGGCCTCTGGGGCGGGGGTTTCCCCGCCCCCCGGGGGGACTTGGCAAGCCTACACATTATGCAGACACGTTGCTGAAACTGGAGAGAGAATGGCCCGGGTCTAAGCAGTGCCTGGCTGAGGGGGACCTCCACGGAACCCCATTCTTAGGGTCGCCAGTTCTTATTTGGGAAATTCCTGAAGATCTGGGACCGAGCCTGGGTCAGGGGGGTTCGGGGGGGGGGCTCATTGGGGATGTGATACCTCAGAGCCCACCCTCCAAAGCAGCCGTTTTCTCCAGGGGGATCCGATATCAGTAGTCTGGAGGTCAGTTGTAAGGTCAGCTGTTTTCCCGAATGTACAAGGAGAGCGTAACATATCAAGCTGACGTTGTTCATAATTCTTGCACTTCTACGTTGCTGCGGTGCTTCATCAAAATAAGGCAAGCTTTTAAATAATACCATGCCAAAAATAAGGTTTTTCCTTAGTTACCCTATGAACACTGTCTTTCACGAGCACCTCTTATCACTGCTGTAACAACTTCAAGTGATGTTTTAATTCCTTCCTTGTGAGGAATACCCTCGCTGATGTTTGGGGTTTTCAGAAGAGGGAGGATGCCCGTTTTTAGAAAATTCATTTTTGTGTTTCGTTGAATCGACGCACCTCTTACCTCTCCGTATATTTTGGCAAAAACCGATCACAGAACACTCCTTCAGGGTGACGTGGATCCTAAACGCTTGCAGTGGGGAGGGTGACTTTCACTGGCTCCTTCCCTCACTCCAGCCCCACATTTTGACCCCCATGGTGTTCTTTGGGGTCCACTGAACCCCCAGGCTCACAATTTCAAAAGAAACAAAAGACTGCAGAGAAATTCCGCTCAGGCTGCACTGGGTCCAAGCCTTTTTGTTTAAGACAGTTTCATCCCACTCCTCTTCTGAGGAGTTTGGCTCTTTTCCCCATACCCCTTTCATCCTCACAGTAAAAATAGTCCTTTGAATTAGAAGAAGAGGAAGAGATTGGATTTATACCCCGCCCTTCATTTGGAGTCTCAGAGAGGCTCACAATCTCCTTTCCCTTCCCCTTCCCACAACATACACCCTGTGAGGTAGGCGGGGCTGAGAGAGCTCTGAGAGAGAACTGCTCGTGAGAGAACAGCTCTGAAGGAACTTGTGACCGACCCAAGGTCACATCAGCAGCTGCAAGTGGAGGAGTGGGGAATCAGACCCGGTTCTCCCAGATTAGAGTCCGCACACTTAACCACTACACCAAACTAGGCTGAAGGAATGAGGCAAGGTTACTGAGGGAGAGCCTCACAGCAGAACAGGGACTCGAACCCCGGTCCCAGCCTGGCATTTTAACAACATATCACAGCACACAGTTTCCCTAGAATTGGGAAGTGGCAGGTAATACTTTTCGAAACATGTCTGCAGATTTGCTCTCACGGCAATTAAAATTGTTCTGAAGTGATGTCTGACGAAAATCCCTAACTCTCCCCAAATTTTTGGGGATTTCCCATTTTAAAAGCCTCCCAGGTTTATAGAGATTGGAGACACACACACACCCCGGTGTGGTGTAAATCCATTAAAATAGAAGGAAATAATTGAATATTGAGGAGGTTGTAGACCCCAGATTCTTTTTGGTGTAGTGGTTAAGTCTGCGGACTCTAATCTGGGAGAACCAGGTTTGATTCCCCACTCCACCACTTGCAGCTGCTGGATGACCTTGGGCAAGCCATAGTTCTGACAAGAGCTGTCTTTGAAAGGGCAGTCCTCAAAAGAGCTCTCTCAGCCCCGCCTACCTCACAGGGTGTCTGTTGTGGGGAGGGGAAGGGAAGGGAAAGGAGCTTGTAAGATGCTCTGAGACTCCGAGTGAAGGGCGGGGTATAAATCCAATCTCTTCTTCTTTTAAAAATCCCAAATTTATAGGGTTCCCAACCTCCAGGTGGGGCCTGGTGATCTTCTGGAATTAAAAGTGATCTCCAGGCAACCCAGTATCAGTTCCCCTGAAGAAAATGGCTGCTTTGGAGGGTGGACTCTACGCCCTGATCTCCAGGGATTTCTCAACCTGGAGCTGCCAACTCTATAATTATAACTTCCTGATTCATTTCCCCCGATGTCAGCATCACATAATCGTAGTGACAGTCGTCTAAAATGTATGGACGAGGGGTTTTTTTAGAATAAAAATTCTTCAGGATAATGGAATCCCTCAAAATACCAATATTAGGTTGCATGTTTTCCTCCTCATTGGGTGCGTTCAGACGCGGCCTTTCTGCCGGCATAAACTGCACCGGTTGGAACTGGTGCAGTTTATGCCGGCAGAAACGCGATCAGACTCACCCTCCATCTTGCAAAGGCCTCCGTTGGACGCCCGCTCACACACTGCGGGCGTCGGCGTTTTTTTTTTTTTTTTAAAGCATTTTGAGATAGACACAGGCAGCCATTCAGAGAATGGCGATTTTTGTGCATGCTCAACCCCCCCCCCCATTACATTTAAATTTTAAAGGTAAGGACTTACCTTTAAAGTTTAAATCCCAACCTGGCCTCCCTTAAGTCCCGGACTCCTCCGGGAAGGTAAAGTAAGTTTTTTTGTGTTTATTTTAACAGACGCTCAGGGCGAAGCTTCGCCCGAGCGCATATCGCATAGAGTTAAAATAAAATGGCGGGGGAAAGCTGGAAGCCTCAGGCTTCCGACGGAAATGCCTAGGAACCGGTGGAGAGCGATCAGACGCCGGGGTGCACCGTTTACCACCGTTGCACTCTGTATACCACCACTTGGGGACCTGGTAGCAGAGTGCAACGGTGTAAAGGGCTTTACACCGGTTAGGGAGAGGAGGCAGATGTGCCCCGTCTGAACGCCGGTAAGTACAACGATTGGAACCGGCACCCTAACCGGTGTAAAGCCCCCATCTGAATGCACCCATTGTGTCGCATTCTGAAACAGGCCCTAGGGTGTGGATCAAACCATCTACACAGTGGGTCCATGGACAAACAGGGGAGGGTGTCCACAAGCGTGGGGGGAGCCCCATAGTTGCAGGAAAATGTGAAATGTTGAAGAAAAAAACACTTGGGAGATTATAAAAATGAAAGTCATCGAAAAGCAATGGCTGATGCTTCGAGGAATATATACCACTGAGATCTCACGAGACTATACTCTGAGACTGTAACGGTTACTGGACCTTCCAAGACGGAAGGTTTTTGTCCTCCTGGCTTGTTTGGGAAAGCATTTTGGCATCTCTCCTTCTGCCAAATAATAAATTATTTTGTATTGGGAAGAACTTTTCTATATGTGACGTTTTATTCCCGGGAACCTCTTTCTTTGTGTTTGCAGGTCGGCGAGGACGCCCGCCATTCCGGACCCCCAGTTCTGCCAAGGCCATCGAGTACGTTCAATACAGTCAACAGGGCTCAGTACCAGGACATGGTTCCTGTGGGTACGTCTTGCTCTCTGGAGTCTCCTCAGAGTAGGGCTCGTGCTCAGTTTGGCATGCCACTACTTGTGCTGTGGTTCTTTCAGGCACGGGATCGCTCCGACAAGTTGTTCTCCGCCAGGGCTCTTTTTGTAGAAAAAGCCCAGCAGGAACTTGTTAGCATAATAGGCCACACCCAACAGCAGGAACTCATTAGCATATTAGGCCACACCCCTGGCAGCACAGCTCATTAGCACATTAGGCCGCACCCCCATGTTACCAGAAGTGTGCTCATCCAGCCACACCCACCTTTTGCTGCTTCTTCTGTTTACCTTGTTTGTTGTCAAAACCCAGGGCCTTTTTTTGTAGCAGGAGCTCCTTTACATGTTAGGCCACACACCCCTACTGTAGCCAATCCTAATGAGTTTCTGCTGTTGGGTGTGGCCTGTTATGCTAGTGAGTTCCTGCTGGGCGTGGCCAACTCGGGAGCCAGCCGGAACTCCGTTCCTGTGCGTTCCTGCCCAAAAATAGCCCTGGTTCTCATCCTGGAAAAACAACCTTGTGAAAGCATTTGGCTGAGTCTTAAGTTAAAACGATGTTCTTGTTGCACGTGTCTCGCCTCCAAGACTGTGGTTGCAGACAGTGTTCCCTCTAAGCTGAGTTAGTGTGAGCTAGCTCATGGTTTTTTTAGCCCCCAGCTCACAGATTTTTGTTTTAGCTCAGGAAGGATGTGGCTCCAGACCAAATTAATTTATGCAGTAGCCAAATCGCTTACTCACAACTTCAATGCCAGTAGCTCACAAAGTAGAATTTTTGCTCACAAGACGCAGATGCTGGGGAGTGAGGTGGTAGAATACCGAGGTGGTTGAATGGACTTGGGACAGTTCTGATTAGGGTTGTTGTTCCCCAGTCGGGGACGGGGGATCCCCCGGTTTTGCAGGGTCCTGCCAGCCATCTGGCTGGCAGGAGAAAATTCCGCCCCCCAACAACGACATTGCTGAAAATAATTGTGACGCACCTACGTCACCCAGAACTGACATAGGCACGTTGGTGATTCTGGGGAGGGAGGCGACACTCTGGTTTTAGGGCAAAACTCTATGGTTTGAGCCTGATTCCACCATAGAGTTTTGCCCAAAACCCAAAGCATTGCCCCCATCACCAATGTGCCCACGTCCTTTCCAGGTGATGTAGGCACATCGTGTGATGTCACTTCCAGTGATGTAAACATGTCACATGACATTGCTTCCGGCTCCTGGAACATCTCCTCCCATCCCCCTACCGGCGTTTCCAACAGACCCGGCAACCCTAGTTCTGACTGAATTTTTTTACATACAGTTGCTTCATCCATATGATCACTCTCCTGGAGTCTGAAGCGGTCCAGTGACCCTGCCAGTGCAGCATTATCTTCCCTGAGCCTCATTCGATTGCCCTTGTGGGCCGAGGCCTTAGATTTTTGCCTCTGTCGCTGCTGGGAGTCCCCAGAAAACGGCTCTGGCCTACGCACATGTCTATAAAGGAAGCAAAGTCTTTGACAGCAGCTCTTGTTAGACAGAACCTCTGTCCTGGTTGTGTTTGCCCAGGCCAATCTGAGAAAACACACAAAGCAGTCCTGTAGAGTAGAAGAGAAAAAAAATAATTTATTAATTAATAAAGGAAGAGTACAGATCTCAAGGCTTTGGAACCCTGAATACCCAACATACTCTTCGAGTGTCACAAAGGGTGACATAGGATCTTATACTCAAGATCAGGGCTATTTTTGGGCAGGAACGCACAGGAACGGAGTTCCGGCTGGCTCCCAAATTGGCCACGCCCAGCAGGAACTCATTAGTATAATAGGCCACACCCAACAGCAGAAACCCATTAGGATTGGCTACATTAGGGGTTCCTGCTACAAAAAAAGCCCTGGGTTTTGACAACAAACAAGGTAAATAGAGGCCCCTGCCACACGGCAGGGAAAAGACGGGGCGAAGCGCAGCTTTTAAAAGCCGCGCCAAAAAAGAAACGCCCCGGCGGGATCCCACGGATCCCGGTTGCTGTGCTCCCATCGGGAGAAGGGCCGGGTTGGAGGCGGGAGCGCGACGCCAGGCAAATGTTGCCGTGGGATCGCGCCCGTCTGATGCGCCTCCAATCCGGCCTGCTCCCGGCCCAAACTGCCTCGTATGAACAGGGCCAGAATAAGAAGCAAGAGGTGGGTGTGGCTGGATGACCACACGTCTGGTAACATGGGGGTGTAGCCTAATATGTTAATATGCTGTGCTGTCAGGGGTGTGGCCTAATAGGCTAATGAGTTCCTGCTGTTGGGTGTGGCCTATTATGCTAATGAGTTCCTGCTGGGCTTTTTCTACAAAAAAAGCCCTGCTCAAGATGATGCACACAAATTGAACAAGATTATTGGTTCCATCAAACATCAGCACTCTGACCTAACAAGTCTCTGATTGGCAGAAAACATTTTAGGCTGGGCTTTCCCAAGTAAAGTTTTTTTTCTTTTAGATGAACAATAAGTGTTTCTTTCTCTTAGACTGTAAAATTCTAAAAGTATCTATATAGCTGATATGGTTTACAAGGTGCCATTGTTCTTCGTTTAGCCAGAGACATGCGCAGTTATAGCTGGCCTACCAAGGCCATAAGCCTCAGCCAAAACAGCAAGTTAACATTTTGTTCTTTCAGCATTTTACCTTCCCAGCATGCATCCAAACAACAGTCACAAATGAACCAAAGTTAATACCTGAATACATTCATGATGTTAGAATCATAAATGGCCCCATGGAAGTGTTAAGTGCACCCACCAAGTCAAACCTGTTAGTCAGTGGCAGAGTATAAAGTGTTTCATAAACTGTGCGTGCAACACTCTTTGTCATATTCATTGCCTTCTAATATTAGAACTCGTCGTTTTAGTTTGCGATCATGTTCCATCATGGGAGTTCAGCCTGTATGCTACCAACTCTGTTATTTTACCAAATTTCTTTGTGCCGGGAAGGGCCTCTGTCCTTACGGTGTGGGTCGACTAGAGGTCCATGTTGATAAAAGGTAGAAGAAGGATAACAAGATAAAAACCCGGTGCATCTGATCCTAATCCACAAAAGCTTATGCTGGAGTAAATGTTTGTTAGGCTTTCAGTTGCCAGTAGACTTCTGTTTGTTTTTGCTGGAACACGGGTGCTCTGTTATTGGTAGCTGAAGAAGAATTGGCCTGTAACTGTTTCTAGAGAATTCATGGGATGTAAAAGCAATCCCCTGTTCCCTGGGAGCCATTAGATCTGGTAATGCGGTAAAGTCACGATTGGGGTGGAAGCCTTACATTTATTTATTTCACTTGGGAGATGTTAAACCGATTCCACTCGGGAGATGTTAAAGCTCGCCGTCGACTCAGAGGGGCTTACAATATTTCATTTAAAGAATGGCAAGAGAAAACCATTAATTCCACAAAAAGTTTTGCACGCAAGTTATGAAACGACAAAACTTCCTGCCACTGACAAACTATTCCACAAGGTGGGAATTGGGGCTGGGCTAGCATTGCCAACCTCCAGGTGGTGGCGGGAGATCTGAGATCACAGTTGATCTCCAGGCAATAAGAATGCAGTCCACCTGGAGAAAAGTACATTACAGTCATACAATTATGCAACTTGGATACAAGACAGACCAGAAAAAAAATGTGCCAAAGTGAAACCACCAGGCACAGAATAAAAGTATAAATGAGGCCTCCAAAGATGCAATCACATGCCAAGTGATATTTCACTGATACTAATTTCTGCTCCAGAAAGTGCCTTCCAATGATTGTTCAGCCAAAGCGTCCTCAGCAAAATTGTCCCTTCAGCAAATACAAGAAGCGTTCAGTAGTTTCAGGATGGGTTCCGTGCCCCAGGTGGCCCTGTAGATTCCAGTATCCCTTTTGCCTTTCGATCGGTTGCCTTGGGAAACTGCCTGTACGTTTGGGTCTCCCTCCGGACACGTGAAGGAAGCCATTGGCTTTCAGCAGGGGTGATTCACGGCTGTTGAAGAACAGAAGTTAATTCATCGGGCTGTGCAGCTGTCGCCCTGTGGGGGGAAACGACACCCCTGGCTAATTAACCCAGTGGGGGGGGTGTTCGGCAGCGGCTCTTTGACAGTGGCGTCTGATTTAGGCTCCGCTGACCGGCCCTTTCCGCAGAGCTGAGTCTAGATGTACTTTGAGGAGGGCCACTTTGTTCAATATCAAAAGCAGGGTCATTTTGTAGAAAAAGAGGTGCAGGAGCTCATTAGCATAACTCATTAGCATAACTCATTAGCATAACTCATTAGCATAACTCATTAGCATAACTCATTAGCATAACTCATTAGCATA